TGCGTGTTGCGTATCGGGGTAGCTAAGGTCGGAACTTCTGGGGTCGCGCACTGTCAGATGTCAACGGGCACAAGGTATGCTCTCCGAGGCCCGTGTGGGTATTTTTCGGGTCGGCGCTGGACCCCCCCCTCCTCCGTGCGCGCCTCTGGCGCCGCCCCCCGCGTTCTCCGCGCGCCAGGGGGGCTCCGGGCTCAAGAGCCGGGGGGTGCAAACGGGGGGCGCTGGATCTCGCAGGAACCTGCAGGGCCAGGGGTGCGTTGGCCCAGGCTTGCCCGAAGGATCCTGCAGGACCCTGCAGGGATTTTGCAGTATCCTGCAGGGCCCGACGGACCCGGGTTTGCATTGACCCGGGTCAGTGCGTCCCCGAGGGGGGGAAGGCGTGTGCGGAGGGAGGGTCGACAGCGACCCCAGAAGCCCGCGCGGACTTCCAAGATTGTGGGTTTCTGTTCTGTCTGTGCCTGCAGGCCATCAACAACATGAAGAAGATCACGAAGGCGATGAAGATGGTCGCCACGGCCAAGTTCAAGAAGGACATGAAGAACATGGAGAACGGGATGCCCTTTGGCAAGCCTGTGCTGGACTTGATGGAGAGGCTGCCCCGGCAGGAGAAGGCGGGGCCCATCACCTACCTCGCCGTCACTTCCGACAAGGGCCTGTGCGGCGGCGTGAACTCGGCGGTGGCGAAGCAGGTGCGGCTGGGCCTGGCGGACGAGGAGGCCAAGGGCAACGCCGCGAAGATCTTCATTCTGGGAGGCAAGGGAGTGTCCTCCATGAAGCTCAAGCTCGGGGACCGGTTCAATTACTCGTTCGAGGAGGCGAGCAAGATGCCGTGGACGTTCGCCACCGCCTCGCTCGTGGCCGAGCGGCTCGTGGCCTCGAAGCCTGCCCGCCTCAAGATCGTCAGCAACAACTTCAAGTCCATGGTGGCCTACGACACCACCGTCAAGCACACGATCACTCTGGAGGAGGCGCAGACGATGGACAAGGCAGAGTGGTCCAAGGCTCGACTAACCGTAAAACCAGGACGAACAACAACTTGTGGAGGTCCCGCGAGGATTTCCCGGGTCGGCGCTGGACAACCCTTCCCACACCCATGGCGGCGCTTCTGGTGCCGCCCCCAGGAGGGGTGTTGAGAGGATGACCCAGTGGCGACCCAGGAAGTCTGGGCGATCCTCCGAAGACTGCGCTTGTTTTTTGTTGTGTTGTCCCTCCAGAGGCGATGGACGTGTACTCCTTCGAGCCGTCCATCTACGAGGTGTGGGCCGACCTGCACGAGTTCTACTACGGGTGCGCGGTGTATACTGCCTTCCTGCAGAGCTCCACGACGGAGACGGCGCAGCGGATGAGCGCCATGGAGAACGCCTCGAAGAACGCGGGCGAGATGTACGAGAAGGTCTCGCTCATGTTCAACAGGGCGCGACAGGCGAAGATCACCACCGAGCTGTGCGAGATCATCAGCGGCGCCTCGGCGGTGTAGGCGGGGCACCTCTCTCCGCAGAAGGCTGCGACGCGCCACCACGATGCACGGCCAGGGCCCTCCCGCGGATGGTGCACACTCCCTCTGGGCCCCGGCCCAGAAGGGCGTCCACACCTCGCCAGTGCCCAGGAGGACCCCGGGCAGGCCTTGTGGTAGTGCCCCGGCGCCTTCTGTGCATCCCCCGCTCCGCCCGTTCTCTCCCCGCTCCCGCCCCCTGCTGCCAGGGCCCAGGATGGCCCTGGGCAGGCATTGTGGTGGTGCATCGGCGCCTTCTGTGCGTCCTCCGCTCTGCCCTCCTCCCCGCCCCCCTCCGCCACAGCCCCCCCCCCCCGGTCGCTCCCCGTGCCTGGCGCAGCGGGGCGGCGGCCTCCTGGCGGCGCGCGCAGCTCTGACATAGGTTCATCCGGAAAACAAGACGCGACGATGCCGCCGCGCGGATCCTGAGCAGCAGGCTCCTGCACTCTCCCGAGGCGCGAGCTGCGTGCTCCAAGCCACGGGGCACCTGCCGCTGCCTGCAGCCGGCGTGGGGGGCAAGCGGGCATGCAGTGCTGGACGCCTCGCGTGCGCCCCCCCCGGGCCCGTCCAGAAACCTCCTCCTCCTCCTCCTCCTCCTCCTCCTCCTCAACCTCACTCCACCTCCTAATCCCCCTCCATTCATTCCCCCCTCCTCCCCCCCCTCCATGCATCCTCCCCTCCCCCTCCTCCTCCCCCTCCTCCCCCTCCTCCTGCCCCTTCTCCCCCTCCTCCTCCTCCTGCTCCTCCTCCTCCTGTCGCCAGGCGAGTTGCCTCTCTCGGGTCTGTGCCGGCGCAGGCAGTGCAACAGCCGCCTCGGACGCGCTTTCTCGGAGGCCTCTTGGAGCCATCTTGGGCCTCTCTTGGGGTCCTCGCGGAACCGCGCTGTGCACTTTTGGGGCCCTCGTGGGGTTCTTTTGGGAGCGTCTTGGGGTCCTCTTGGGGCTCTTTTGGGGGATCTGGGAGGCCTCTTGGGGCCTTCTTGGCCCCCATGATTCAAAAAAGAGGGGAGGCTCAAAATGGCGTCTTGGAGGCTCCTTGGGGCGCTCTTGGGGCCGTCTTGGAGCTCCCTTGGTGCGCTCGTGGGCGCTCTGGGGGCCCTCTTGGGGCTCTCTTGGGCCGTCGTGGGACCGTCTTGAGGCCTCAAGAGCCCATCGGAAGCGAAAAGGCGAGAAGGCAAAACATATTGAGTTCCATATGTTTCTGAAGGATTTTGGCCTCGTGGGGAGGGTCCTTGGAGGGCTCGGAGGGCGCTTGAAACCGTCGTGGTGCCGTAGGCCTCTCAGATGTGATATATATATATATATATATGTATATATATATATGGATGTGTTTGTTTGTTTGTTTGTTTGTTTGATTGATTGATTGATTGATTGATTGATTGATTGATTGATTGTTTGTGTGTGTGTGTGTGCGTGTGTGTGTGTGTGTGTGTGTGCGTGTGTGTGTGCGTGTGTGCGCGCGCGTGTGTGTGTGTGTGTGTGTGTGGTGTGTGTGTGTGTGTGTGTGTGTGTGTGTGTGTGTGTGTGTGTGTGTGTGCGTGAGTGCGTGCGTGCGTGCGTGCGTGCGTGCGTGCGTGCGTGCGTGCGCTCGCGTGTGTGTGTGTGTGTGTGTGTGTGTGTGTGTGTGTGTGTGTGTGTCGGAGGCTATCTTGGATCATCTTGGGGTATCGTGAGCCATCTTGGAGGCCATCTTGCGCTCTCAGAGGCCCTCTTGGGGCCATTTTGGGCCATCTTGGACGCTCTAACTAACTACCCCGTCCCCCCCCTCCCAGGCCCGGGGGAGGGGGTAGAGGGAGGGATCCCCTCCTCCCCCGAGCAGGGAAAGGAGGGGCTGTTTGGAGATAGAAGGCGCAGTTTGTCAAACCGCCTACGCCCCAGAGGGGTCGTGGGACTTGCCCTCGGCTCCTCCTGTTACCCCACTCATTCCCCCTTCCACTTTCCAGGATGAGGTGCGCAAGTGAGGGGAGGCTCAGACGGGGACTGCTGCCACGCCGACCACACTGCAGATGCCGCACGCAGGCCATCGGCAGCTCGAAAAAGACCACGGCCGAGTTCAAGAAGGACCCGGGCTGGGCACTGTCCAGCTCTCAACGCTTCGCGCCCGACCAGCCCGTCCAGGTCAGCCAGAGACGACTCTCAGGCTCCCCGTCTCCCTCTCCGTCTGCATCTCCCCGTCCTCCTCTTCCTCCTCCTCCTTCTCATCTTCCTCCCTCTCCTCCTCCTTCTCGTCTTCCTCCTCCTCCTCTGAAGCCTCCGTGCGCCAGCCGTCCGCCACTTCCCCCGATGCCCGTTTCGGGCCCTGCCCCGGCGGTGGACGAGACGGGCCAGCGGCGGCCCTCGCAGTCTCTGAGCTTCATCTCTCTCGTGTGCAAGCTGTAGCTTTGGACGGCGCGCGGCCCTTCCGTTTGCGCTCGCGAACAAAACAGTATCCGACCCTGCACCGTTTCGCTTGGGGGTCCAGCGCGCCAGCCTGGCGCGCCAGCCGTAACGAACGGCCAACCGCGAGCCGCTCAATTCCTGAAGGCGCCCGGCGCGTCATCATCAGCAGCAGCAGCAGCAGCAGCAGCAGCAGCAGCAGCAGCAGCAGCAGCAGCAGCATCATCATCATCATCATCATCATCATCATCATCATCATCATCATCATCATCATCATCATCATCATCATCATCATCATCATCATCATCATCATCATCATCATCATCATCGTCATCGTCAGCGTCATCATCATCACCATCATCATCAACATCATCATCAGCAACATCGACATCAGCATCATAAGCATCAGAGCCGCTCAATTCCTGAAGGCTCCTGGCACGGGTGGCTCGGACAAACACGTGCCGAGGACAGATCCCTTGTGAGGCTTGCGGCGTTGAGGGCCAGACTGCTGGAACAGCGTTCTGCCCAACGTGAGCCGCATCACATGTTTAGTCAGCACGTTCAGGTCGGCACTTGGATTTGTGAGATATGTGGTGCTAGTACAGGCAGCTTTGCCGTGCGTGTATGCCAGACCAACACGCCCCACTGCAGCGTGGACGTGGGCCCGGCAGTGCGGCATCGGATGGCACGGGTCTGGCATCGTCACATGGGATGGCACTTGCGCCATGGGTTCAGCAGCAGCAGCAGCACGGGCGTCGTTCAGGTTCCCGTCGCAGGCGCCTGAGATCAGCATCAGTTTCGTTTGCAAGCGCGGTCAAGGAGGAGACTGCAAGCAATCAGCAGAACAAGGGGGCCTCTTCCTATTTTGCCGGCGCTTACCGTGTATGCTGCCGCGCACCCGCGCTTCTCTGGGACTTTCCCCGACGATGCGACAGATGCCGAGAGAAAGCTGTACACAACCATCAGGATGAAGGAGTCAGCGGGAGACTTCGCCGAAGACGAACGAAAATGGTACGCTGTGCTGCTCAAGGCCATCCACCTCCTGCAGGCCATGGGAGCAGCAGAAGGAGCGCCAGAGAGCAGCACTTCAGCGTTCACAGACCAAGCTAGGTTCACAGAGCGAATCCGTCAGATAAAAAAACGAGTTGGAACATCTACGTGCGCAGCGAGGCATGACAGAGGAGTAGCTATACAGGCATCAGCAGGCTTTGGCGGAGATCGAGGCGTCACCTCGTTGTCCTCGACCAGAGCCGCAGCGGGAACCGATGGACGAAGAGGATCTCGAGAATTTTGCCGAGATGGTCGCATCGGATGCAGCGCGCGCAGCGGCACACAGTCCTGGCCGGCTACTGGTTGCAGCTGCCGCGGCTACTGCGACAGCACATACTCCTGCAACAGTCCAACCCCGACAAGTCGGCGATCTGGCAGCTGAACAGGCACGGATTGTGTCGTGGACGCAGTGCCCCACCTGCTACCAGCAGAGGGTCGACTGCAGCGTCGCCTCCCTGGGCAGCCAGCTCAACGCCCTGAGCGCCCGCCACGAAGCACCTCCGCTGTCTCACCTGCTTCAGCCTCTCGCTCCGAATGCAGCGCCGCTTGGCCCCAGGGGGCCCTCCTCCTCCTTCCTCCTCCTCCCTCCTCCCTCCTCCTCCTCCTCCTCCTCCTCCTCCTCCTCCTCTTCCTCCTCCTCCTCCTCCTCCTCCTCCTCCTCCTCCTCCTCCTCCTCCTCCTCCTCCTCCTCCTCCTCCTCCCCTCCCCCTCCCCCTCCGCATGACCAGCCGAGGATGGACAGAGAGGAGCCTCAAGGTTGCCGCGAAAGGCGGGTGCCCTTGGGGCGGCGGAGGAGCAGCGTGCAGCAGAGCCCGCAGAGAGCCAACCAGCAGGAGACGAGCAAGCCTGCGAGGGGCAGCCTCCATGTCTCCTCCGATCCCGATTGATTTCACAGACCAGGATCCGAGTGGCCCTCTTGCCGCGATGCGGTCGTTTTTCGTTGATCGTTGAGGTTTGCTCAGTGCCCTTGCGGCACCCGGATCATGGGCACCTGCATCGTCGTGGCAGGACCTTGAGCGCTTTCTCCTCTCATGCTCGCTTGGGCGCCCCGGCCTTTTCCCAGCCCCCCCCACCCCCCCGCTCCAATGTGAGCATCGTGAGTTGCGCTCGTTTGCGCGCGCGGATGGGTCGGAGGGGGGGGAAGTGGTCGATTTGAGTTCCACCTCCGCGGGCGTTTGTAGCGTTGCTGCTGCGCCCTCGAGGGTTTATGGCACTGTTATGGAGGCCACTTTGCTGGTGCTGTTAACCTAGATGCCATGTCCGTTCCAAAGGCACACGTCAGTCTTGCTGCAGAAGCTGGCGCCATGCTGTGGGCCACTTAGCGGGCTATTCAATATTCATTCGCTTCGTTCCGCTGTCATGTTGGCAACCTTGTTGCGTTGCGTGCAGCTCCAGGCGAAGGTGGTGTGCCAGACGTTACTGGACTAGCTGGATGCTTGAGGTCTTCGATGTTGTGTCGACAGCAGGATCGGCCCACCGACTTTCATCGCGTTTATATTCATGTGGAAGACCCAATGGATGAGATGACTGAATCCCTTGCGGCACCAGCAGCCCTCAAGATTTTCAAGCACCTCCCCCTGTCTGTCTGCACGTGGAAGGCGTGCTTGCCGCAACCTGTCGTTGCACCGTCGGTGTGGCTCGAAGCTCAGGAGTCTCTGGCGTGGGTTCAGTTTCCGTCGATGTGCTGGGGGAGCTCATTCTGGTTTCGGTAGAGGAGATTTGTCCCCGCCCCCAGGTTCACAGCCATCGGGGCTGAACATGGCAATGGGCCTCGCAACGTACTGGTAGGCATGCGTGCCACAGGTCGCCCGTGCATGCTAGCAGCGCATTTGGAAGCAGCCGAGCTACAGGTCGCCGGCGCGGCAGAATCTAGAGTCCCGAGGAGACCGGGGTGGACAGGCGCGGGCAATTTCCTCGTCCCCCATGGTCCCTCCACCCGCAGAGGTACACATGCGTGTTCCACCCCTGCATCGCAAAGGGGCCCCCCTGTACCTGCCCTACCCTCGTGGGCAGTCCAGAGGCATTTGCTCGCCGTGGCCGTTGCCGAACCGACGGTGCTCACTGTCGGGGAAACGTGGTGCTGGGTCGCGTAATTCTTTGGGTGCCCCCGTCGGGCCAGCCCGAGCCCCCCTGTCCCGAGTCTCGCGTCTCCC